TATGTACACAAATACACACATTATATACGCATTATATATACATTATATACACACATTTTATGTACACACATTATATATTGTGTATACACATATATACATTATTTGCACACACATATATATACATTATATATACAGACATACACACATTATATGTACGTACATTATGTATACACATATATACATTATATACACATTATATATACACACATCATATATGTATACATTATATTTGTATGTGTGTATACATATATACACATGTATATAGTGGGGGATTCTGACACATACCCTGAAGGTTTTTATTCTCCTAATGATTTCAGTATAATTTAAAGAGCATAATTTGAACAGGACTGCTCCCTTCCCCCCATCTTTATATTATTTTATTTTCATCAGTTCTTTGACTTGGGAACTCTGAGTATAAATGCAAGCAGTAGGGGCACCTGGGTGACTCAGTAGGTTGAGTGTCCCAACTTGGGCTCAGATCATGATGTGGTTTGGGAGTTCAAGCCCTGCATCAGGCTCTCTGCTGTCAGCCTGTGAGTGCAGAGCCCAGTTTGGATCCTCTCTTCCCCTCTCTCTGTCCCTCTCTCGCTTGTGCTCTCCCGAAAATAAATATTTAAAAAAAATAAATAAAGGGGCACCTAGGTGGCTCCGCTGGTTAAGCGTCCGACTTCAGCTCAGGTCATGATTTCTTGGTTCGTGGGTTCAAGCCCCATGTCAGGCTCTGGGCTGACAGCTCAGAGCCTGGAGCCTGATTCAGTTTCTGTGTCTCCCCCTCTCTCTAAGCCCTCCCTCACTTGGGTTCTCTTTCTCTCAAAATAAATAAACTTAAAATTTTTTTCATAACTAAATAAATGCAAGCAACGCCTAGGCTAAGGTATATTGTATTCCATCAGGCCAGTTTCTTATTGGCCACATTTAGAAACTAATTGTGTTAAATAGTACTAAATCCAAATTTCTTTTTAAGGAGAATTGTTTATAATGACACATAGGATTAATACGATGATATAAAAGCTAAGTGAAGTGCTAACCTCTGCATTGTGTTTTTTCCCCACAACTAAAGCTGTCCTCTCTATGTGAGCAGGGGGAAAAAAAAAAAAAGAGCCAATACAGATGAGTGCTTTGTGCTCTGTGACTGACCTGAAATTTCCATGGTGGTTTGGGGCTTGCAGTGTCTCCTTCAGTGTGCTTTGCTGGTCTCAACAATTTTTGTCTTGTTTTATATAAAACCAGTTAGATTTCAAGACCAACAAAATGTTAATCAGGTAGGTGTGCAGAGTCTGTGCGGAGAGTTTGTGTGTCCCATTGATTGTTTAAAAGAAATGGTGGAGGGGCGCCTGAGTGGCTCAGTGGGTTAAGTGTCCAACTCGGCCCAGATCATGACCTCATGACTCGTGAGTTCAAGCCCTGCATTGGGCTCTGTGCTGACAGCTCAGAGCCTGGAGCCCCTCTCCCACTCACATGTGCTCTTTCTCTCTCTCTCTCTCTCTCTCTCTCTCTCAAATATAAATAAACATTAAAAAATAAAAAAAAAAAAAAGAAAAGAAAAGAAAAGATGGAAGGGCACCTGGGTGGCTCAGTCAGTTGAGCATCCCGACTCTTGATTTGGGCTCAGGTCATGATCTTATGGTTCGTGAGTTTGAGCCCCACGTCAGGCTCTGTACTGACAGCTGCAGAGCCTGCATTGGATTCTCTCTCTCTCTCTTTCTGCCCCCTCACTCTCACTTGCTCTCTGTCTCTAAATAAATCAATAAAATTTTTTTAAAAATGACTTAAAAAGAAACAATGGAGCATAGGGCTAGGTGAAAGTGTGCAGCTCTGGAAAGGGAAAACATTCTCAGAAGTCAACGTTGGTGGTGCTAATATGCCCGCAGCCCCCTGCCTGGCATGTGAAGGAACCAGGCCCACAGCTCTGGCCTGTGACAATCTATCTCCGCTTCTCCTACTTCTCTCCTAACTGAACTTTGCTGGAGAACTATGCTGACAGAGTGAGGGGGCCAGTCCTGGGCTCCTGTGCCGTCTCAGCACCTTGGCCGTCATCTCGGGCCAGCCCTCGTGGGGCAAGTCCTGACCATCACGGTGACATTGCTCTCTTTCTCTTTGCTACCTTCGATGAGATCAGAAATTATTATAAGATCTTTCACGTGCACGAGGGATCGGCTGTGGAGTGGCCGGGAGGACCCATTGGAGGCATTGCCACTGACTCAGCACCTTGGGGTGGGGGGGGTTTCCTGTCAGTCTCAGGGTGGGGGAGGGGCACTGGGAGGGCTGCTCTCCTAGAGTCGGCGGCCTTTCTGGAGGACATGTGACACCAGATTCAGTAGAGTGGATGAGAGAGTAGAATTTCACCCCAGCACAATTTAATTAATGCCCAAGCTAAAGTGGAACAGATACATTTTTTACTAGGAACGACTCAGAGGGGCGCCTGGGGGCACCAAGTCTGTTAAACACCTGACTTCGGCTCAGGTCATCATCTCACAGTTCACGAGTTCAAACCCCGCATCGGGCTCTGTGCTGACAGCTCAGAGCCTGGAGCCTGCTTCGGATTCTATGTCTCCCTCCCTCTCTCTCTGGCCCTACCCTGCTCGCGCTCTGTCCCTCTCAATAAATAAATCAATAAACATTTAAAAAAAAATTTTTAAAAGAATGGGTCAGAGGTGAATCTTTTATTTTTGAATGACCCATAGATATTTTTGTTGGTAAAGCAATTAAAATTCACCAAATGAAATCCAGTAGAGAAACACCCACAGACCCCACACACGAGCGCCCTCACTTGCAGAGGTGCGGAGAGAGGGGCTCTGCCGCCGGGTGCTTGGGTGGTCCCGTTCTTCTCCTCCCTTTGGGGACGGGACAGGTGTCTAATTCAGGAAATGGGTACAGTATTGAATTATTTTCTTAAGGAACCCTCTGTTCGCAGTGAGGTGTTCTTCAGAGGACTTTGGAGGTTTAGGTAAATAAATCCAAGGAACAGAGTAACGTGACTAAATATTATTCAAAGATCAGTCAAAGGGGCAATTTCCCAGTTAGTCTCCAGGGCCTAGAAAAGAAGGATTTCACTGGGGGGAAAAAAATGTCCGCAAAGCAAACTTGACGATGCCGTCACCGTGTGGTAATTTTATTTTAGTGAAGCGGAATATTAAGGATTCAGGTGCGAAAGCAGAGCCTGGATCCAATGACGTGTGGGGTTTCGGTACAGGCGCAGGCTGCCTTCCTTCCACCCCGGGGGGCCGTCTTCTCTGCACCCTCGCCCCCCCCCCCCCAGCCGCCCTTTCCTAGTTCATCGCTTTCCTATCCGGTGCCTTTTATCCTCGGCTCTCACTGCCACTCTTGGGTCTGGTGGCCCAACGTGCCACTTGACTGTCCCATGTGTCGTGAGAGCCAGGCGGCAGGGTCCCTTTCAGCACAGGAATTGGGTTTTCCTTCTGAACGACGCCGGAGGTTGCTTCTTGTCCTGCCTCATGGCCGCCAGGAGCGTGTCAGCTGCTGATAGTCTGTGCGATAGGATGCCCTGAACGTGTACATTACCTCGTATTGCGCTCATATCCACCTTCCTGGTCTTGTCCGCATGGGGCTGCCTGGCTGGGGCTCCGGAGACGACTAAAACGGACACCACCGCTTTGGGGGTCCCCAGATGGCACCCCACCTGGAAACTGGTCCTGATTCTCTGATCGTTCCAGTGCTTGCGTACCCTTCGGGCCACGTCGCGCCTGCAGTCCCCATCCCCAAATGGAAAGGGACGTGGGACTCCTACTTCTCTGCCTTGAATCACTTCCCTCCTTTCCTACGACTTACCCCCAGTTTTTTCCCATTTTTTTAAAATGGAAATTCTTTTCATGTTCCCTCTCAACAAAGACTTGGCTGCTGACAGCTAAACTGGGTTTCGATGAGTGATTTATTTTATGGCAGGTTGTATGGTGGCAGTAAAAAGAGACTGCCTGGCTCTTCTGCTGATTTACTAAAACACTTGATCTCTTTCAGTCCAAGCCATTCCCCCCACCCAAATGGCCACGGTGTTTTAATAAAAAGCAGCCATCTCATTGCCCTGAGTCCCATCCATGCTACCTGGCTTCTCTGAATACCCAAAACAGCTTGTTGAATGTTCTCACCCTGGTTTCCAACAGGACAGAGATCTCCCCTGGGATGGAGAGATCTCTGCGTCCAGAGATAAACATTCCCTACTTGACGGCCAATTTGTTTTCTTGCTGTTTTGTTATTGTATTTTTTTTATTGAAGAATAATTGACATACACTGTATTTTCTTGCTGTTTTAGACTTTCCTACACACCCTACAGGTCTATGGGAAAGGTCTTAAGATTTCTGTCCAAAACAACTGGATTTGCGTGGCTTAGGTTATTTTGGAAATGAAAATTCAGGCCGATCAAATATTACAGAGCCAATGGTATAAAACCACAAACTCATGGAAATCTAAAATTAGAAAGGAAGAAGGAAATGTCTTTCCTCGAATTAAAAATTTGGCATTTGGGTATGAACGTGGAGATTATATTCTGTTATAATTAATTTTTTTTTTTTTACTTTTGAACTTTCTTGTGGCAAAGTAGACATAAAAAAAGTTCTCGCTTTGACCATTTTTCAGCGTCCAGGCTGCAGCTCAGCGGCATTAGGTACGTTCACTAGGGCAGCCGTCACCACTGTCCATCTCTGTGTGAAACTTCACCATCCTTCCCCATGTGAAGCCCTGTTCCCATACAACACTGACTCCCAGGCCCCCGTCCCCAGCTCCCTCTACTTTCTGCTGCCATGAGTTGGACTGTTCCGGGTAGCTCACGTAAGTGGAGCATCATTGCTTTCTGGAACGAAGCAGCTCTCTCCTGGTGTCGTCTCCCCCTCGCCGTACCCTCTCGCCTGACCCCTCTCCCATTCTGCAGATGCCATTTTGCAAGCTCTTTGGTGACTTGCTGAGCCAGTGACAGCCTTGTTTTTATTTTTCTTCATTTGCTCTCTTGGGTTACCGCTAAGCCTCCCTTCCACTGTGTCTCCCTGCAGTGTTGAGTATCCGGGGAGCCCAGGAGGAGGAGCCGACAGACCCCCAGCTGATGCGACTGGACAACATGCTGCTGGCCGAGGGGGTGGCGGGCCCCGAGAAGGGTGGCGGCTCCGCTGCAGCGGCGGCAGCAGCAGCGGCTTCAGGAGGCGCAGGCTCGGACAACTCCGTGGAGCACTCCGATTACAGAGCCAAGCTGTCCCAGATCAGACAGATCTACCACACAGAGCTGGAGAAGTATGAGCAGGTAACCATGGCCATGAGGGCATGAGGCACCGGGGCCCTTCAGGTAGGATGAAGAGCCGCTTAACTCAGGGGCTTGCAGACCCTGGGACCAGCCTCTGCGCTTCAACACAGAGCCCCTGGTCAGAGTAGAGTCCACCAAATCCTCGATCTCCACTATTAAAAACCCAGGCGCACTGGACATGAAGGCATTTTAAAAACTTATGTTGTAAGTGATGATTTCGGGAAACGTTAATAGTCAGTATAACAAACATTCAGGCTGGGGCTCCAGAGCATTTGGCCATGACCTATAGCCTGGATCTCATCAGGGTAATAGAGGTCATTAGCAGAATCACCACCTGACCTGTGGGGAGGTCACTGGGCTCCTAGGGCCCTTGTTTGCTCCTTATTTGGAGAGGATTCCTTATCTTCTGTGCACTCATGGAATCCTGTGGGAAAGGATACTAACACACAGCCTTAAAGTCCCTTGCTGTTCTCAGACTCCATTCAACTGAGAGTCAAACATGTTCTTTTGATATATGATACAGAATATGATCCCTACCTCCATAAGCAGAGTGGAAGGTCTCAGAGGACCCCTGTAGTCACCAAAGTTGGATTCCAGTCCTGACATTTCCACCGACGGTCCCCGTATTCTACCCAAAAGCTGGTGGTGTATGGCAAAGAGCTGTAGATTTGGAGTCAAGGATACCACAGCAGGACCATAAAAGCCATATGAAGGAGAGCATAAGAAAGGCTTTAAATTACAAAGCAGTATATAAATTATATGTAACAACAGAGCTCCTCTCTCCAAGACACCCTCCCCTCCATACACACACACACACACACACACACACACACACACATGCAGGAATTTACATCTCTGTTCTGCTTCCTCTGGTCAGTATGAACAATACTGCTTTAATAAGGGTCCCTTACACTAGCAGTTCCTCCGTGAGTAGGTGACAGATATGTTTGTTGTCACATTTTTGGGTGCAGCATTACCCAAAAGTTCTATAATTAACTTACTTTCATGGAATTGTTGGCTTTTCGGCTTCCTTTTCTTTTTCAAGAGTCACAAAAGAAAAGGGAGCAAAAGCAAATGAGAAGACCCTCGATAGTCCACTTAGGACCATCTGGGTACAAGGCAAATGCAAACTTAATAGAAAATTTAAATTTTAAAATAGAAATAGGCATTTTAAAATTTAAAGTGCAGAAAGTTTCATTATTGCACTCCCATCTCCCTTTGAAATGGATTTCTACAAAGTCCCTTCTTTTATGAGGGGGAAAAAAATGCTGTGAAGCGTGAAGCCAAGCATGGAAACTCAACGATCAGATCAGCCTAGGGAGGGTTTGAGGGGAGGAAGAGAGAGGCAGTCTGGTGCCAAGAACCTGTGAGTCATTGCCGTTCACTTTCTCGGGAGACAGTATACATTCTTGCCACAGTGTTGGCTCGTGTAGACACTTGACAAGATCTCAGGAGATGCTGAGCCCAGATAGTGGGCTGATCCCTGAAGCTTCCCCAACCCGGTCTGTCGCTTGAGAGTGGAGAGTCTGCCCTCACCTGTGGGATAGCTTGGGAAGATGGAGACTTTTCCTATAAAGGTCTCTAGCTGGCCTCTTGCGTTCCTCCTACGCAATGCTGTTCCTACTTGACATTCAAGATTAAGCCTGGTTATAACAACCTATCTAGACTTACCCTCCAGCTTAACTCCCTGCAGACTCCACGGGCACAAGAAGGGCCCAGCGGGTGGCTTCCCCCCACTAGACCCTAACTAAGATGGATATTAGGCTGGAAGGTGTTGAAGACTGGCCTTATTCTTAGCCCATGTTGCCAACAGTATAGAAGAACTGACTGTCTACTTGATTTAACCCCCCTTGTCATCTCGCTATGCTCCTCCACGGTGAGCAAAATGCTGTTAGCGACATCATTGCACTTGTCCCTCCAGGCAATTTTGTGGCTGGGTGCCCATCACAGGGCACCTCTGTCTTCATTTTGATACAGGTGAGGGATGGAGGTCAAAAGGCTTAGGTTGTGTGTGTGGGTCACACATCCTGTGAAGGGCAGAGGTTGCCCTGGAATCCAGTTTCTGAGCCTTAGTCCACGGGCTCTTATTAGAACACCGCCTGACTACACTCAATATGGAGCGAGTGGGGGCCTGGGTAGACAGTGAGGGAGCCAGCTTATCCTCTGTTACTTGCATGGACGAGATTACTGGTACCTTAGAGAGGCCAGGGCTAATAATGTGCTCCCGGATAGCTACCTGTTTTAAATAATAAAGATGTGGGAAATCAGAAGCTTAAGGAAAAACTCCCACCAGTATAGGACAAATGATATGGTAGTGATCATCTGTGTTTCTTATTCTTAAAAATACTAAAAAAATCATTTCCTTAGTTTCTGGGTAAGAACTGAATCCTACTTAGAACACTTTGGGTATTTAATATTTTATTAATACTAGTTAAGTTGTTCATTATAGTAAATAACAGATTGTAGGGAAATTATGCCATTAAATTCCTCTCTTGTGTGTCGGGGAGATGTATCTTCTTTACTTTGCTGTGACCATTCCTCGTGGGAGCTTTTTTTTTTTTTTAATGGTTTATTTATTTCTGAGAGAGAGGCAGCGTGAACAGGGGAGGGTCAGAGAGAGAAGGAGACACAGAATCCGAAGCAGGCCCAAGGCTCCGAGCTGTCAGCACAGAGCCCATGCGGGGCTCGAACCCACAAACCATGAGATCATGACCTGAGCCGAAGTCAGACACTTAACTGACTGAGCCACCCAGGCGCCCCAGGAGCTTTTTTTAAAATCAGGAAACTTCAGGAAAGTAAAAATGTCACTCTCGAATCTGGTAGTACCTGGATGACATTGCCAAATTGGCTATTATTAGCTGGCTCTGTTGTTTTTATTTGTTTGGTTTTTAGTATGGTGGTGATAGACAACCAGACAACCAATTAGCTTTCTGCTAATTACGTATCATGACCCTCCTCAACCCCACCCCTTAAAACAAAAACAAGACCAAAAAGACTGTCCCTGAATCAGCCGTCGATTCACCCTGATTATTATTACATAAAGCAAGCTTCTAGAGATTTTCATTAGAAAGAAAGGAAAGAAATTATTTTATTCAGTAAATGGTGTGGGTAAAATGCTTTTTCGGCAGATCATGTAGGTTGCTCAGGTTATTTAAGAGCTGACATATTCTAATAGACAACACCATGATGTTAGAAAGCTGAATTTTATTCTGACTCGTATTTAAAAAAATGACTCTTGGAGCTCTGCAAGGTTCTCCAGCTTCTGTACGTCATGCTGCTGGGGCGTGAGTGGGGCTGAGTCTGTAAGGCTAAACTGGGCTGGGTTAATGGGTTCAAGGCCAAGAGGACCCAATACTCTTCGCCGAGATAGGCACCAAATCCAACTTGAAGGAGGAAGGGAAGAAGGCGGCTAAACAGAGTGCAGGACAGAAGCTTAAAACTCTGGCCCCTTGAGCGAGATGTTCTAGGCAGGGGCTTGTCTTTAGTCTTTGGCTCCCAGAAATGCCATTGCCCTGGAACCTGGGAAGGGTCCCTTCGAAATCCTCGGGTCTCTGGGGCACCCGGAATGGCAGCTCCCAAAAGCGACTGCATTTATGACCGTCCACCGTGGAGTCGGCTCTGTCACAGAAACTTCCAGCCTCTGAGGGTTCTGTGTAGTTAGCGGGTCATAACCCCAGGTCTGCCCCATCCCTGATGCCTCAAGAACGCCTGACCCAACAGAGGCAGCCCAGCTCCCACAGGTGTAAGCTGGCAAGGTCTGGGGAGGACGCATGGGTAGTTCAGGTCCTGGGAAAACCCAGACCATTATGTGCTGTCCATCCCCCATGGGCTTGGCAGTCATCTCTGGCCTCTGGTGTGTCTTCCTGCGCAGCCACCTCGTTCCCCCTCAGCGGCGGTGAAAAGACCCCACTGTCTGTTTATGGCAGAGCAGAAAGGGCCCCAGGATAAAATGCCTTGAATAAACACCAGATATTGTGAGTATTCTTATTCCCTGTAATGAAGCACATTATTATTAGCCCAGCACTGTGGCTTCCCAGCGGAGAGCAAGTGCACTTGACAATGCCTCCTCACGTCCAGCCCCTCCTCCCTTTGAGACCCCGCAAGGTCAGAAGGCTGCAGGCCAGCGAGATGCAACGTTGGACTGCAAAGCTGGGCGGGGTGCTTGCTGCGTGCCTAAGCCGCCACTCCCCACATCCAGCCAGCTCGATGCCAGGTCTTCAGTTCCTCCCTTTGTTTACACTTGGGGGCTGGGTGGGCAGGAAAGAAGCTTACCATACAGATCTCGGGGTCATATAGTGATTTTCTTAGTGGAGAGAAAAATGCTAGATGGACCTGATCTACGGATTTGTCTTCAGCATTTGCCTGCAGAGTAGAAAGGAGGCGTTGATCGCCCTGTTTATTTTTACCAAGAGGGATACTGGCACCCGGACACATCCTTATGCAGCCACATAGTAAGTCATCCGATCCTCACCATCCCCTTTGAGGTGGGTACTGCCACCCCCGTTTCACAAGTCAGGAAGACGAGTCACAGAGAGGTTAGGCGACTTTCCAAGGTCCCACAGCGACGTGAGCCCCAGAGGCAGGATCTGAGCTCAGGGCCCCTGGGGTGCGCTCCACTGTGCTTGTGAGCACAATTCACTCCATCCGCAGGTCGCCGTACAGGACTGTGGTTGCTGCAAGCCTTGCTAAAGGTCGGGAGTGATTAAATCCAGTCCCTCAGACGAGTAAACTGAGGCACTGGGTAGCAATAGGCTTTGCCTACACACTCACGGAGGTGGGGTCAAAGACCCGGCCTCCCAGTCTCCAGGGTAGACCTCTTGTGGTCAGCTACCCAGGTATCTTTGGCCAGCCAACCTCAAAGGGTTTCGTAGAGAAATGAACGGTGAATGGGTTGTCTCTGCATTCTTGACAGATATGAAAGACTCTGTGCTGTAAAAACAGAGGCGATGCAGTGGCCTCATTAATGAGTGTGTTTCTGTTATTGATATTAAGCTGGAGCCCCCTGAGTCCTTGACTTTTCTCCTGTCAAGGATCATCTTGCCTTTTTTCGTTACAAATCTAATACAGTTTTATAACGCTGCTGTGAGTTGACCTGCACATAGATGGTTTATTGAACGCTCAGCTAAGGAAACCACACTTCAGATGTTAAGAAATAGTAACCACAGGAAGGATTAGTGGTGTTCAGAGGAGCAAGTGTGGGCTCTGGGAAAGGACAGAAGTCCCCGGCCTGGAATAGAAGGCGTTAGGGTCCTGACTCAGCTGGTTCTTTTGTGCCCTGTGTCTTCAGAAGAGGCCCTTCCTCTCTCCGGGCCACAGTTTTCCCATCTGTAAAATGAGAAGGTGGGAAGAATGGTCTTTAACTTCCCTTCCAGACCTGACGGTATATTAGTCTAACAGGAGAGGTTTCCTTTCTGCAGGGATGGCTTTTGAATCCTGTATGTACGCCATGTGTTGATGCTGTTTCTACAAGGCCTCTGAGGCCAGATTCCTTTTATGTTGTGAATTCGGTGGTCTTGTGAAGGCCAGCAGAGGAGGGAATTCTCCTAATAAAACTAAAAAGAGTAATGGGTTGATGCGGAATCTCCCACGGGGAGTAGCTTTTAATTCCATGAGTCTATTCTTTTGGCTGTTGATGCATCCGAAAATCAGACATTTGGAAGTTCTCATCTATCAGAGATCATGAGCAAGGCAGAAGTTCACACTGTATCTGACCCCCAGCTCTGTCCGGCTGTTAACATTGGGGTGAAGGGCTTTGGGGTGTGTTTTGTACTAAGATTCATGTTCTCACCTTTCACTGCAGTAAAATCCTGAAAAAAGTGAATTCTCTTTTCCCTGTAAAAAAAAATCTCCATGGGGGCCAAAAGTTAGACTCAAACAGGAGGGAAGGTATTTCTAAGCAGCCACTTGTTTCATCCCTCTGATGTGGCAACACCCCAGAACTTGTGCGAGACTCTAGATAAGCCCACACAAGCCCTGCGTCCAGGCCCGGAGCCTCCACACGGCCCGCTGTTTGTTGTCCTGCTCTTTCAGGCGTGCAACGAGTTTACCACCCACGTGATGAACCTGCTGCGGGAGCAGAGCCGGACCAGGCCCATCTCCCCCAAGGAGATCGAGCGCATGGTCAGCATCATCCACCGCAAGTTCAGCTCCATCCAGATGCAGCTCAAGCAGAGCACGTGCGAAGCCGTCATGATCCTTCGCTCCCGGTTTCTGGACGCACGGTGAGTCGCCAACGGGGCCGCCCGTCGGCTGGGGGCGGGGTGGGGGTGGGGGATCCCGGGCCCGGGGTTGGGATCCGTGGCGGGCCCCTGTCTACAGGCTCCATTTTCATCATGTGAAAGGCCAAGCCAAGGAGCAGGCAGCCTGCAGAAGCCTCTCGGGGCAGGTGAGCGGGGCTGCGAGGCAAGATTAGCCACTGGTTCTACTGCCAGGAACACGTGTGACAGGGGCGGATGCTTGTCGTCACCGCTGCTCACTCTGAGAAGCAGGGGTGACCGAGCTGGGAGACAGCAAGGGCAGCAGCTTGCTTTCCTCCCGCCAGGTCCCGCTGTTACTGGTACCTGTCGTAGCTCTGGGCCCCTGGGGTTCCTGGATGCTGTGAGAAGCACATTCCCCAGAAAGAGTGTGCAATCTGAGAGCCGGGGTCTCTTCCACATGATGTCTGGGCGGAGACTGCACTCAGTTCAGCTCCACAGATATTTGGAAGTCGAGCACCATGCGCCGCACTCCAGGCTAAGTTCTAGAAGGACAAAGATGAATGGGACATCCCGGGGGCCCAGAGGAGCAGGGGCCGGTGTGACACGCGCCTCATCGGATATGTGCCTGGTCTGATACTTTCTATCTGGCGTTGCTTCTCCTGACCTCACTTGGGAGTTTACAGAATTCAGGCAGAGAAACCCTGGGTAGAAAGGTCCTTTTCAAAAAAAGATAAAAACTGAGACTAGAGACCAAGCAATCTGTTCTTGGTCCCTTACTCTGTAGACCAGTGGGTTTTTGCGTATCCCTCTGATTTCTTTCACTTCTGTTACCAGCCTGCAAGATGATGATAATCCTACCTTTCGTTTCCTCCCGAGGAGTGTTTTCATAATCGTTCCGGCGGACGTGTGTTCAGAGCGCGGGCGTCCTTTGCGAAATATGGTCCATCTTAGATTAGCCGCCTTCTACAAATGCAGCTTTCATCCCTAAAACCATTACTTCAATCCCTAAAAATCATCCCAATCTGTGATTTTAGTTATTAAAGCTTTAGGTATATCAGGTGAGGAAGCCATTTCTTCATTTCTAGTTTTGTCCCTTTTCCATGCGACAGAAATATTCATTGCTCCTGGTGGGATTTTGTCACTGCCGCAGTCATGCCTTATTCGGCTCTCTTTCCTGTATTTCTCTCTGTTCACAGTCGTGGTCTTTGCCATCCACAGACCTCTTTAAAACCCCCTGGCATCTCCTAACCTCCCTTTCTTTCAGTGTGTTCTGGGTGGCACGGAGCATGGAATGAGAATGCCAGCCAGCACAATGTATCCCTGGGCCCCCAGAATTCCATACAGTTAAGTCAAGAGAAAGGGAAAATGAAAATAGCTTTTCCCAGCTGGGGAAGACTCTGTGGGGAGGCAGCGTCGCCCTGAGGCGGGTCCCGTGCACATCTCCCTGGCCCTGTGGCCGCTGGCAGCCCGGTGTCCTGAGAGCAGGCTGTTGTGCCCAGTACAGGGTGCAGGTGACTGGTGACCTCTGGCTGGGCCGGTCCCCTGCCCGTGCTGCCCGCCACTCTGCACGGCTTATTTCCATCCCCAAGGGAACTCCCCTAGTTCAAATTGACAAAGAGAAAAGCCGGGGCCAGACTGGACTCTTGTGGAGAGAACCCAGCGAGAAGGGAGGAGCAGAGTCATTGTCTTGTTGGATTTCTTCGTGCAGGAATGGGGCTGTGTGCAATCGGAGGGCAGACCCGAAATGAGGCAAACTTCGTACACAGTTGCTGTCGCTTCCCCCAGCTTTTGCCTCCGTGGGTCCACTTGGCATCTGTCCCTTAACAGAGGGTCTCTTTCCTGCCTTGGTTGCAGGACCTTTGAATCCTTCCAAGGTTCAAAACTAAAACGACTGAGCTGTTGCCATTGTTACTAGCATCTATTTTGAGGGTATATTTGGTATCAGTGGAAGAATATAACCCCAAATGCCAGCCCATGGCTGAGCAAAATGGCTTTCTCAGCTCAAAAATGAGTGTGGACCTTTTGATCGGGGTAGTTCAGATCATTGCTTCCAATGCTGTAATTGGGGAGCTAGCTTAACCAACCTTAGTGAGAAAGACGGACAGACTCGGTGCTGGTATTCACACGCATGTGATAGCCGGGGCTTTATCCCTGAAAGATTTGGTGGAAGGCAAATGACATACGAGGGGAATTTGACTTCGTAACAGGATTGTCTTTGTAACATGACAGGTTTGTAGGATCGAAGGGTCCCGCTTTGCCACGTAACACTCCTTGTCTTCGTTTCGCATTACCACTTACCAGATGACTCCAGTCTCGCAGCCTCAGACGACCCAGAGTTATTACAGCACAGCTTCTGTTGTTTAGGAGTCTGGAGACAGTTTAACTGGATCCTCGATCCTGGTCTCACAAAGCTGTAATCTGGGGGTCAGCTGAGGCCGTGACCTCATCGGAGGGACAGGGTCCTCTTCTGAGCTCATTCCTGCCGTGGGCAGAATTCAGTGCGTGTGGTTGTGGGAATTCCATCCCAGCTCCCACAAGCCACGCTGTCCACGGCCAGCTCTCATCTTGGCTGCTTGTTTTCTTCCTGGAAACCAGCGAGAGAACCTCACTATTTTAAGGCTTTAACATCATCTCCCCGAACACAGGGCGATATCTTGTTATTGTCACGGCTGCTCTCCACGGGGAGGGCGTGGATGCCAGGCGGGGCTCTTAGGCCTTTCTAGAACTCTACCTTCCATGCCCTTCAGCTGAGCGCTTGGTCCAGACGTGTCTATTCACGTCCTATCCTTTTCCTCTTCCTTACGTTGACTTAATTGTGCCAGAAGAATATCATTCATTCATTCACGCCTTCATTCTACATTTATTCCCTCATGCTGTGTACCGAACAGTGTGCTATAAAACTTGGTAAAGTTACTGTCAGGATCATAACCACAGTTTTCTCAGTTGAAAGCAAGAGAACTTAGGAACACTCTGAATGATTTTCAGGCAATAATTTTAGCTTCTGTATGACCACATTTTGCTGGCGACAACATTAACAAGATAATCAGAGATCAGAAGAACATTTCACCCCGAGACAGGGATTCCATAAACTGAATCAGTAAAGCAGAGGATGACAGGAGGGTCTGGACCTTACTGTGCAGTAAAGTCTGGGCAGACTGGCCTGTATTTAGATTTGTGTATCTCATTGAGCCTTTCTCTCTGTCAGAAGCTGTCGTAGACCCTGGAATAACTAAGAGGGGGAAAAAAACCCACATACAAACGTGGGTCGCACCTTTAAGGAGCTCATAATCTCGTGGGACAAACCCATACTCGTTTACAAGTGAACGTAAAACTGCATGCTACACATGCACGTCTCCCGGCTGCACCCGAAGGGGCGGCGGAATGCGCTACAGGGCATCTCAGCTGGCGGGGCATTTGCCAAATAGCTTTTTCCCCCATTGATCAGAGTGAGACGTTGTGGTCCAACTCCGACAAGCAGTACTTACTGGAATGCTTCCCACATGAGAGGGCACTAGAATGAGTGACGTGCGGGTCCTGCCCTTGGGGACTGTGCTCTTGAGCCGGGGAGACATATGTAAACCCGGGGCAAACGCCGTAGGAGAGAAATACACAGGGTGGTGCGAAGACGCAAAGGAGCATGGGAGTCCCCAGGGTCTTCGGGGGAATGGAGAAGCAGATGATGTGGCTAAATGAGATTATGCAGAGCGTGTATAAGTACTGGGGGAAATGAGGCACGAGAGATAGGATAGTTCCACGGAAAAACCCTAAACAGTACCCATGAAGGCTTCAGAACATGTCCTGGTAAGCAGCCGAAACCGTCAAAGCTGTGTAAGGACCGAGAATAGTTATCGACAGCCTAAGTTCTCCAAGTGCACCGCGTGGATTCCAAGGGCTACCTTTGTAACTCTGTCCTCCCTGGGACTCCTGTCTGTAAACTGGGGACAGTCCTATACACAGGAATAAATAAGGGAAGAAGAAAACACGAAAACGTAGTATTGTGTCCAGAACGTAGTGTTCACACAATAACTCAGCTATAATATACTAAGGATCGCTATTTTATATGTTGCTCATTATTATTATTTTATTATTGTTATTGCTATTATTGGTGACATGATCAGTGGCTTCTTGAAACCCATTTCAAAAATAGAGTGACAATAGGCTGGAATGAAAGGGTTGGATTTGAAGGACTAGACCTGGCAGGACTTGCTTTCAGGCCCCTCATCTGACGAAGGTAAAACAGCAGGAAAGGCTGAGAGTCACTCCTAAGTTCTGGCAGCTCCGAGTACTCAGATGTTTTAATGAATGGATGAATACATTGACAAATACCGAAACACGTCTATGCAGGCACAGATAACGGAGAAAACGGAGCTGATGTGGGTATGATATGCTGCTGGTTTTGGAGACACAGAGTGTCCAGGGTATGCAGTGGTAGTTGGGCAGGGATTCTCAGGAGAGGCGGTGCGGCAGTAGGCAAAATATTTTTGCCGCCGTACGTCCGCCACGCCTGCACTTCTCACCCTTGCGTCACTATGATTCAAAAGTTTCCATTCCTAATGTGCCGCGTTTATCCAGTACTCTTAAATCAACCTCCACATTTCTTACATAAACAACCTAGATCCCCAACTCCCAAGGCTTTTGATTGGCTCAAAGTCACAAACGTTAACCTAGCAGGCTGATAACACTTCCAGCCGAAGCCAGGCGCGTAGCTCAAGTAAGCTTATCGTCAGAAGTATATTGTTTTCACCAGGCTTCTTGACATTCTGCAAAGTCCTGATCTTCGGATTCCCAAGGCCCTCAGCAGAGAGGGCCATGGAGAGAGGTGATAAGCGAGCCCATCAGAGTAGATGAGACCACCTAGGGAAGGTTGCATATCACGAGAAGGGAGTCGGGAACAGCTGTCTGTACCAGCCCCCACACCCACCGGCTCATTCCAGAGAGGCTTCCTTTGAGCTCATTTGGAAAACTCCCAAAAAATACAGTGTGATGCTAACACAGACGGTTGAATGAATGAACCAAGGTTCTCCCAATTAGGGGAGCCTTCAAATTCCATTCCCTAGGCCTGAGACAACTGTTTTCTTTAGGCAGAGAAGAAGCCAGAGGTTACCAAAAGCCTGGCCTGGAGCCCTTGTTAGCCACTTGGCTACCTTCCTCAAATTCCCAGCAGGCAAGGACTTTTAACAAATGCCTGTTTTTTGAGTTGGGCTTTTTTTAAATCCATTCTGCCCGATTTCTGATGTTGGGTGACCCAGAAACTCAGCGTGATTTGGGAAAGTGACTCGGGCTTGGCATAGTCTGGACAGATGTGGTTAATACCTATGGACAGATGGTGTTCATCCGGTAAAATCAGGCACTTTATTGTGTTAATTAATCCAAGCGGGACCCTGAAAATACAATATTAGCTGAATTTCCTGTCTAGCAAGGCGATCGGTGCTTTCTGTTGGGCTAAATCGGGAAGTCCTATATCCTGGCATAACCAAGGTTGTTCTGGAAACCTCTTCCATAAGGAAAAGCTTCTGATAAAAGCAAGAAAGGCAGAGTGCTAACAGAGCTCATTGAAAAATGGGGTCCCCACCGCCTGAAGGAGGGCCAACCAGCCTCTGCTATGAGCCTGGGCTCCCCAAACAGCTCCCCAGATGCCCATGGGCCATAGCTGTGAGGAGGCAGTAAAGTGATTCTCACTTTAAAGTAGTTCAATTAGCACTTTCTTCTGAAAGAGAGAAAAATGCTTTTGTTCAAAGGTGGTTCTCTTCCTTTCTGCAAACTGTGTCTTAAAAAGATGTCTGTGGGCTTTTGTTTTACCATTTAGCAGCTGTTGACTTCTCTCCTTCTGAGGGAGGTCAGGCAGTCCAGGGGGGTAGTCCAGGGGGGTGATTCTAGTTTCTTCCACACCCTCTTCCTCAGATGCCTTTACAAAATGTCGTATGCATTTACCTGGGAATGGAAGAAAGGGAAAACGATCACTTATTTTTAACTGGCGGTCACAGAGCCTCTGTGTGATTGCCAGGAGGCGATCCGTATGTAAGAAAGAGGGTTGGGTTGTATAGTGAGGCAGACCCGAATTAATAGAACACACCAGCTGAGTGAACTCTGGACTCAGAGTTACCAGCTCTTCACTGGTAAATGGAAGGAACTATACCTATCTTGTTAGACGTGCACAATGAGTAATTTGAGTCGATTGCTATGAGTGGGAAGGTCCGGTGCCTGGAGCCTGGTCCGAAGATCAGCATCACCTGGCATTGGCCACAGACACGGTGTGGAGCGCTTTCCGTGTACGGCTTCACGTTACCGTTTCTGTCACCGTGTGAGGCCAGTGTTACTCTTCACTCCCAGCTGAACAAACGGAGGCTTGGGGAGGCATCCCAGATCCCCGACTGGCATTCACTTGGTCCAGGATTCAAAACCACGGTGGCTGAGTTGTGAAACTCAATCCTCCTCACCACTCTGTGCAAATATTTGTGGCTGATTTTCTGCTCGATGCCTCCACGATGCACCATGAAGCATTTAACACTTTCGGCAATGGTCTTGGCATCCAGCCCCTTTGTGCAGATTTCCCCTAATTCCGCTTTTTGCTCAAAACTTTCCCTTTTCCCAGAAGTAGATCCTCGCCTCTCCCTTTTTATATGCATTCGGTGTGAACGTTTTTGGTCGTTTTTCCTTTCTCTTCATGAAGGCGGAAGAGACGGAATTTCAACAAGCAAGCAACGGAAATCCTGAATGAATATTTCTATTCCCATCTCAGCAACCCTTACCCCAGTGAGGAAGCCAAAGAGGAGTTAGCCAAGAAGTGTGGCATCACAGTGTCCCAGGTAAGGGGCCCTCGGAAGGCTCAGCTTCCAGCCTGGCTGTGGTCGACCCCCGTGGCAGGGTCTTGGAGGTGTGGCTTTACCAAGCTTTCATGCCTTGCTTGGCTTAGCATGCATTTGCTAAAGCCCTGTAAATGGTGAGGTAGACACCTGATGTGTTGAAATAGGAGAGTTCCAGGTAAGTACCTGAGCAAACTAGAGAGGACCCGTAAAACTGGAGTAGAATACAGTATAAAAAGAGCGGTGGGATTCTTCCTGTTCAAAGCTCCATCGCTTCAAAAATGGGCCAAGGTTCTACATATCCTGGGAGAGCCATCTGCATTTGTCACACTATTTACTCAAACACAGTCCATTCCTTAGCTCATCTTTCGCCCAGCCCGGGAAAGAGTCAGTGAATGGAACTTTCAGACGTCCTCTCTTGATGTGCTCATCTCCGTAACTGATGGGATGTAGGGGTTTTAACACGTCTCTCTGATGGCATTGGAATGGTTGCACAAAATGTCATTGAGTACCCCCTTCCCCCAAAGAGCAGTAACCGTAACAGGTGCCTGTTGACGTGGAAAGATACATGATAAAAATATTTTTATGGACCTGGTTGTTTTTCAGCAGTAGTATGGAGTAGAAAAGCAGGCAGTATCTCTGTGTACATATTTTTTGTCTACTCAGAGGATCCATCCAGAGCTTCTTATTTAATCTGAAGCTCAAATACCACCACCGGTCTCTAGGTGAGAATAGTAAGGATAATTCTGAAATGTATCAGAGAAAGTCCCTCTGAATTATGTCACAGGCAAGAGAACCAAATGTAGTGGCATTTCCATAAAAGGGGTAAGGGGAAGGGCGCCTGGGTGGCTCAGCTGGGTAAGTGTCCAGCTTAGGTCATGATCTCACGGTCCATGGGTTCGAGCCCCGTGTCAGGGTCTGTGCTGACCACTCACAGCCTGGAGCCTGCTACAGCTTCTGTGTCTCCCTCTCTCTCTGCCCCTCTCTGCTCACTCACTGTCTCTCAAAAAAGTAAATAAACGTTAAAAAAATTTTTTAAAGGGGTAGGGGAAAGAAAGCTACGAAACTTCACCTGGCATCCTGTATAAACGGAGCATTTGGACTTTCTTGAATTAAATCCTGGTTTCTGTTTCTCCCTGCGGAGTACTGATCCCATTATCCTCTGTTTAGCTAAGCAGAATGAACTCTAGTCAGAATCCAGAATTGCACACAGAGTACAGACAATGAGGAGATGGCCAGGGCCTCCCCCACAAGCTTTGGGGGGATTAGGCAGCAGCCTCAGAAACCCCAGTTCGTTTTCATCTCAGACCTTCCTTAGGTGCTTCGATCTGGGTGAAAGTTGCTCTGGTCTTAACCCTGAGCAAGCAGAACCCCAGAGGTCAAGTTCAGATGACCTGGTTTTGTCTAGGTCTCCAACTGTTCTTGTCCAACTTTAGATCCCTTGTCCATAAGAGAAGAGAAGGGATGTTTTTGATACTTGCTACCTGTTTCAAAGAAGGTTCCAGAGAGGAACCATATCACTGACAGTCAGGGAATTTGATACATGGAATCTTCTGCTTCTAAAGTAGAATTAAATCACTATATGGTCTGAATCCTAATTCTGGGATTCAGAATTCTAACTCCCTGTTGAAGATAGCGTGAACTCTCCAGGAGTTAGTTAGTCTGTATTAAATCTAGATCAGAGATGGAGTCCCGGCCCATTTGAGCAACCTTCACTAACTTCATTACGGAAACCCAAGGTGCAAATAATTTGTCCATTAAAATGAGTGTGTATATTGGGGCGCGTGGGTGGCTTAGTCGGTTAAGCGTCCGACTTTCGCTTAGGTCATGATCTTGCGGTTCGTGGGTTCGCGCCCCGCGTCGGGCTCTGTGCTGACTGCCAGCTCAGAGCCTGGAGCCTGTTTCAGTCTGTGACTCCCTCTCTCTCTGACCCTCCCCTGCTCACGCTGTCTCTCTCTCTCTCTCTCTCTCCTAGAAATAAATAAAACATTTTTAAAAAATGGGTGTGTATATATACAGTATCGCCTTTCCCTTTGCTTTGCCCACCCTAAGGTCATGCCGGTCTTCCTTCCCCATAAAGTGACACCATTCTTCCTTCCCCATCACATGATGCCCGCTCAACAACAATGAAGCTCTTCCACCATTGCCAAACAAGTCCCCATGCGACACAATATGATATGATATCAGAGCAAGAGCATTTGGTTAGGAGCATGTTTTTGTCAAGAATCAACTGTGAGATTTGGGGGAACTCCCTCTTTGGGATCTCAGTTGCCCTGTCTCCTAATCAGGGTTCATTGGACCATGTGATTTATTAAATTTCCCTTTAGTTCCCAAATCTAGGGGATGCAGATTTGGGGGGGGGGGTGTTGTAGCTATTTTGGGGCTGTATCTTTCTTGGGCTTTGTTTTGTTTTTTTGTGGTGGTGATTGTTGTTTTCTGTTGCTGTTGTCATTTTTTTGGTTATAGTTACCCCTCCATCTTGAAAGTCTCCTACCCTGGCTTCCTTGGCACTGTTCTCCCTGGAGTTTCCTCCTTCTGCTTGGGCCGCTTTTGCTTGGTCTTTTTAGAGGATCTTCTATCTCTGGTTACCCTAGAAATACCATTTTTTCATTCGCCCTCATCTGTGAATGAAATTCACAGGTCATGCCTACCCCTCGTTCTTGACCATTTTGTTTAGCCACAGATTCTTTGAAAATCTACTTATTGTTGATTCCTCCCATGATCCAAAACAAAATTGCTGGTGTACCCAAATTCAGCTATAGGCCATCCTCGCCTTTGATCCCTAAACAGCCCTTCCGGTATACCCAAGCTGTTGGCGTGTGGTCTGAAAGAAGACAGCACGTGGAGTGTTGCTCAAAATGTAAATCGTTAGATCTCACCCCAGTCGCGAGGTAGAGTCATGGCACGGGCGGGTCGGCATCTTGTAACGAGCACACTTTGACCTGGCAAAGTATTGTTCTACACACTTTATCTGAGTGATCTCCACTATGCTTCTAAGCTGAAAACATTAGCTTTATGTGGATATCCAGATGAAACTTCCGGAGCATGAAACTCCTGCATCTTACTTCCCACTGGACCCTGCCACGTCTGCCTGGGCTTTTCAAACTCAACAAGTTCAAAATGCAAGCGGACTCTCCCCCAGAGAACCGATTATTTTTTCTGTATTCTCTGTCTCACACTGTGTCTCTCATGTGTGCCTTGCACATAATAGGTCCTCCATGACTATGAACAGCAAGTTAATTAACAAAAGCTCTGTTATGTACATGGCTCAGGGCATCTGATATCGCCTGTGGGCCATGTAGGAAATTGGTGAGCTGACTAAGCATCTTGCCTGCCAGTCTGTCTGCTCTTCTCACTGAGAAAGGAATCACTGCACCATCACGTCCCTCTCGACCTTCTTCTCTTCCTTCTCCTTTTCTCTCATGTAGCTGATATAACTAGACCTCAGACATTTCTTCCTCAAGCGCTCCCAAACTGCCTTCATCTTTCCCCCTTTCTTCCAGCTCATCCAGCTACCTTAGAAAAATCTTCCTCTTTTTCGTCCCTCTCACCTGAAGAGTGAAAGTTACATCAAGGAAAGCATGAGTTTGGGAATGAAATTAGATACACTGTGGTCCTAAGATGGCCCCAGAGTGCCTTTCCTCTCTTAATGTGACTCTGTAGGCACCAGCATTGACAATCAAACAGTTTCTCATGGAATTTCTTTCTCTCCTTTACTAATATTGCAATGGGATGGTTTCATTTTGTTAACAAAGGCTTGGCATTTCTGCCATGGTGTAAGCCACCCAGACCTTTGAGGGCGAGCCTTATAGGAGTTCTAAGTTTTACTTCTACATTTAATTTTTTAAGTTTATTTATTTTGAGAGACAGAGAGAGCAAAGGAGGGGCAGAGAGACAGAGAGAGAGAGAAAGAGAGAGAGAGAATCCCAGGCAGGCTCCATGCTGTCAGTGTGGAGCCCTATGCCTGGCTTCAACTCATAAGCCATGAGATCATGACCTGAGCCAAAACCAAGAGTCAGACATTTAACTGACTGAGCCACCCAGGCGCCCCTAAGTTTTGCTAATGCATTTAAAAGATAAACATAGTTTTGCGAGAATTATTTTTATCTGCCAGTGTTGGGGATAAATATAAACTAGGTGAAAGCTGTGGTACCTGTGTGTTATCAATTTTGTCTTCCCTCATCAAATTCATTTAGTAACTTTATTTGCAAAAATGCAACATTTTAGTTTGAAGTCACATCTGGAAAATGGGGTATAAAACGTTCCTCACGAGGCAGGGACTTACGGGTAAAACTTGAATTTCACCACATCTCTGTGTCTCTGGCAGAGGTTGTAGTATAAAGGGAAAGGGGACATAAAATCAAGTCAGGACAGCTGTTGTGAGCCACATGAAGGAAATACATTAACAAATGAAAGTAAAAGAGGCTTACTTTGTGTATTGCCTTTAATATTTAAAGCCCAGAATTCAAAGGAATAATCTGTGGTCTGCTTCAGTTTTTTCCTGTGTAAGTAACACCAAGCTTTGCATAAAATAGTCAGTGAAATCGATCAGATTGAATTATGTTGAACCTAAGATCTGTAGTACACACAGCTAAGAATCTAGTCCATATTAGCATTATTTAACTTCTATACATTTGAAATTACTCCATCAGTGAGAGCACCTATATGTTGATAGAGATTTGTTTGAGTATTTATTTTTCTATTTCTTTCTTTTTAGGTTTATTTTTTTTTTTGAGAGGGGGAGGGGCGCAGAGAGAGAGAGAGAGAGAGAGAGAGAGAGAATCCCAAGCAGGTGCCACGCTGTCAGCACGTAGCCCAATGCAGGACTCGAACTCACGAACTGTGAGATCATGACCTCAGCTGAAACCCAAAGTTGGTAGCTTAACTGACTAAGCCGCCCAGGCACCCCATATATAGATATTTAAAATTCCGTGCCTCTTGATTGCTCAGTGTTAGCTTTGATAAGTAACGGGCATTTTTCCTGAATTGGTGTGTTTATTTTGGTGTCGTGTTCTTAAAAGGGAAGCAAATTTTAAAATGCTTGCGCTATGGGGTGTCTGGGTAGCTTAGTCGGTTAAGCGGCCGACTTTCGCTTAGGTCATGATCTCGCGGTTCGTGGGTTCGAGCCCCGCGTCAGGCTCTGTGCTGACAACTCTTGATGTTGTTAAATCCGAATAGGATCCGCCCACGTAGCCTGCCTCTCCTGCTGCCCTTCCTTTTCTCTGAGATGTTTGCACAGGATGGAATGTTAACTTTCTCCTCTTCTCTTAAACCGCTCTAGGTATCAAACTGGTTTGGAAATAAGCGAATCCGGTACAAGAAGAACATAGGTAAATTTCAAGAGGAAGCCAATATTTATGCTGCCAAAACAGCTGTCACTGCTACCAATGTGTCAGCCCATGGAAGCCAAGCTAACTCACCCTCGACTCCTAACTCAGCTGGTTAGTTTTTTCTTTGATTTGGGGGGATCATTTGTATACGTGCTTTTCCTATCGTGGGGTTTTCTTTTAAGCCTTTAGGTTTCTGATTGGTTCCTGTATATATTCGGTTGTCTTTTTTTGATGTTGATTACCATTTGGGTTTTTCCTTTCATTTCCAAAGAAAGAGTGCGTTTTACTCTTCATGAGACGGCCTTGCCTGGATGTTTGCGCTAAAGTGTCTGTTTACGTTGAACGGACCTACATTGGTTGGTTTGGATGAGAAGACCTTCACATTCTCCTTTCAAAGATGAACTCCATCTATTACTTAGAGATCGTCCCTTGGGGCTCTCGCATTTAGTCTGTTTCACATGACGTTTTTAACCTTGTCTCCTTGGCCGTGTCCATTACATAGTGTCTGGGGGACCTGCTAGCATACTCCCTGTGCAGGACTAGCCCTCATTACAGTGCTCTGCACACCAGACTGAGATCACCCCTATCCACTGTTTATAGCTGGTGTTCTTTACTATTTTACTTTGTTGGTTTCTTTATGCAGACTACAAAGAAAATTGCCAGTGATGAATTCAGATTATTCACATTCCAGTTTTCCTGGTATAATATCCGTCACATCCACCTGGTTTTACTTTAATGCATTCTATCACTAACTGCAGAATTTAGGGAAACATAATAGATTTTGGGGTTTGCCTTGTATCACCAATTCTGAATTTCCATATGTGGAAAAAAAACAGTCAATAATGCATAAAATCTAACCTTAGTGTTTGTATGCTATGGAAGGTGTGTTGGTCATTTTTTTTTTTTTTTTTTTTTGGTAATGGGAAGCCAGAAATACTTCCTTATTAAATAATTGTGGTCTCAGATTATGTGATGTTTGCCCCCATGATGAAACGTCTGCATTGATTTTGGTGGCTCAGTGCACATCTAAGAAAACTGATGCCTGCAACTTGAAGGCTCACAAATTTAAATGTGTTTGACCATAATACGATTAAAAATCGAATTTCTAACATTTCTCGGGAGGGTCTTTGACCCTGAAGCTTGTTTGTTCCCTGAAATAAATTCTTTTTCTACCTTATGGTGGATTGTTATTGGAAACGTGTAAGGCTCCACAGGCTACCGTCTTCCGTGAGCTTCTAGATGCACTAATTTGTTATCATAAGTCTCTCTAAGTCACTGGCTGTTCCATCATAGCCTTTTTTTTTTTTGTTTAAATGGATTCATGCATGAAGAGCGGCCTGAGCTTTGTAAGCACAGACATGGTAAGACAAGGTAGAATTCAGTCTAGTTTTATTTTTCCCAGCATGCCAGGTTGGGTAACCCTGAGGAGCGTATTGACTTTCTGAGGTTTGTGCGTGGGTGTTTCCTTCTTTCCTCATCATGGGATGATTGACAAAGGATCAAGGCTAAGAAGTTCACTAACCGGAGAGTTTCCTTCTCCCCCACCTGGTCCACTATTAAGCCTTTCAGACTCTGGCAACATGAGCTGAATCGCACTGCTCAGCAGACACGTTCATTTGCCTCTGGAAAAAGTGTGATACTGTCAACATTAGCAAAAACACACTCAACACTCCTGCGAAGGTTATCATAATGCAAAACAGATATCAAAATGACTTTTTCCTGTCCCCGATATATCTGCATTGCAGATGGTTGAACATGATTTATGACTAGTCCCTAGAAGGGCCCTGTGAACTCCCTTCATTATTAAAGCCGTAACTTTTTATTCTTTTCTAAAGCACTTAAAGAGAAAAGTAAGCATTTCAAGCCCCGCCCCCCCCAACTCTGTGTTTAAGAATTATGTTGCCTCTCTTGGAGTGTCAGTCAATGATTACAGTTTCCTCAGGAATTTTTCTGGTAGCTTCAACTTCTGTGACTATTCTAAGCACAAAGTAAATTATTATGGAAAATTTGAGCTAAGCCATCCAGTCATGCCTAAGTCGTTGGAAATAATATGCAGAGGAACCCCTTTGTAGTGCTTTTTTTTTTTTTTACGGCAGAGACAAAAGGAAATACTATTGTATATGTGCAATAGCACAGAATTTTCATTCATCAACATTTTAACACGAGAAGTTATACGTGGGCTTTTCTGCATTTTCCTTCACTCTTACCTCCACCCAGATCGGTGCACAGATAAAGTGAGAACTTTAAAATGTTTAGACTTTTCACCTAGGGTGTCGATAATGTCGTATACTCACCAGGTCTTTGGTAATTCCAAAGGATAAATGATCCTTGAAGTAGATACGAGTGTTAAATAAGAGGTTAATATGTGAAAATATATTTTGGCTGAGTTTTAAGTCTACAGATCTGGAACCTGGAAACTTTTACATCCTTCATTTTGAAGCAGGGTTTTTCCTGCAGATGCTTTACTAAATATAAATACTCATTTCTACTGCAAAAAGGATACTTTGCAAGTAAATCTTTTTCCCTCTGGAGGCTTTTGTGTGGACAAGCAGCACTCAAGTATCTTTATTGAGGTCATTTCTGAATATTCCTTTTTGTTGATGTATGCCTGGTCTCTTGTTTCCTTAAGCATAATTCATTAAAATCACTTTGGGTGAGGACCTATGAGGGGTGAGTAAGCATTTACTTGGCATGTATCGTATCTGACACCAGCAGAGTTGGGCAGAACGGATGGAACAAAAGGAAGAATAGAAGGAAGACAAGAAAATGAAATCTTCAAAAACAAAAAAGGCAAAAATGGGGACCATTTGAAGCAATAGTTATAACCTCAGGTCCATAATTCTACAGTCACCTGCAGGGACTCATTCTTGGTGTCCTATTTTTGATGATTTTATAAAAGCCAGAATAAGATCTCAGAAAACTAGGGCCCCTCTTAGAAGGTCAGATTATCTTCTAGAGACTATTTTAGCTCCAAGAAGGAAGAAATTGGCTTGCGCTTTACAGATTTTGCTGCCGCATAGCATCCACATTGGTGTTTTATTAAATGCTATGATTAGCTAAGCAACCCCAGGCTCACTGAGGCTCAGGGTCCCCTCCCCCGATCTGAATTCTTTTGCTGGCTCTGTGTGTGTGTCAGGGTTAACAGTGAGCTTGGCCTTCAAAGTTCTTCCTCTGCCACTAGCGATTGGCAAGCTCTTGTACGTGTGTTACACCCCTAATGAAGGCCTGGTGTTTTTCTGGATTGGAGGAGGATGATCTTATTAAAACCCCTAGATTCTGGCTTCCTTAGAGAGGTTTATATATATGTAGGGCACACAGAGAGGAGGTAGCATGCTCAGCGAGGTTGGCCAGCACTTGGTAAATCCATAGGAACTCTTACAATTTGGTTTTAAACCTAGTGAAAGAATTTACCACATTGATGTTTTCTGCTATGTTTTTTCTTCTCCTAATTTCTAAGCTAGAAAATGAAAACACAGCCTGCTGGAATTGGAACTCTAGAAACCTTCGTGTGCACCGTCTAAGTGGGTTTCACACTGAGCCAGACAGCCTCTCTCTCTTGTGCTTTGTCCTGAGTAGAAAGTAGCAATGATTTTTGGAGTTTGGAAGGGGAATAATCATGGAAAAATAGAGAGGCGAGCGTGAGACGTAGTGAACCTTATATCTAGCAAAGAGGCTCCATCTTTTGAGCCTCCCAATGGTGTAGAGAGTCCAGTCTGATCGGCGACCACCTAATCGCTCTGAAGCCTTGATTTCAAGACTGCAGAATTAGGACAGTACTTGTCATATAGCCGCTTTATGAAAGTGCTATGAGGAATAATGAGCCAGTACTTTTAAACGCATTGCGTTCCTCAGTAAGGAAAAGGAAATCCTCTCTTATGCTACGTCATTGGTTCTCAACTGGGTGAACTTGAAACTCAAGTGACACTCGGTAATGTTTGGAGACCTTTGGCTGTCACAGTCTGGGGAGGTGGGTCCCACTTGCATCTGCTGACTGGAGGCCAGGGATATGGCTGACCACCCTCCAATACGTAAAGCATTCCTCCACAACAAGGGAATTTCCAGGCCAAAACGTCAATAGGGCCAATGCCTAGAAACCTTGCTCTAAGTTTAGATTTTATCATTAGTATTCTGGTTTTTGGATTATGAAGTTCATTGGTTTTTTGGTTTGTTTTTTTTTTTCTGAACAAATTTAAGTCTCTTAAAGACTCTTCAAAGTAGAAATGCAGTCTTTGGGAAATGATCTTATGAAAACGGATGTTAACACATCTCTGCAACGCCGTATTTGCCCGAGCAGGTGCATTAGAATCCATAGGTGACCCATTATTTCTTGTCTGTCTAGTGGAGTGCAGATTTAGCCAGTTTTTGCCTCACATGTCTGGATGACAGCTTAAATGAGCCACTTGCCTCCCTTCCCACTGCAAATTCAGAACCTTTTAACTGACCAGCATGTCTTAAAATGTGCTCCTAGTAATTGCCAATTACTTCCCAGCCACCTGCAGGTAAGGTGCCTGACGGACCTTCTTGGCAAGCCAGATATTCTGAGTTAGTTCACTGAGAATTCCACGGCATCTCCGACAGCCTGTCCACCCTTTGTCAAGAGGTTCATCCTCCTCCAGATATTGTCCGTTCTGGGAGAAGTTTTTTCTAACTTCTAGTGCCCGATGAAGAACGTGACCTCTCCTCCTTACTTAGAGCCTTATATGGGCTTCTGGCTGCTTTATTGCAGCATCTGAGGCACGTGGCCTCTTCTCTCAGAGTCATCAGTGCCTCTAGATACTTACCAGAGTGTCGGAAGCCATGGTGATGTTGTACACGGGTATACAGAGACAATAACATGCAGAGGCAAGAACACAGGGATTATTCCTGCAATTACTGCTCTGATTCAAATGCACTTGTACATGAAGGATGTTGATGTGCACACGGTCATTTCAATGGGCATTCAGCAGCCAGACATTTACAATTTATCTACACACGTATATTTTTTAAATCATCTGTGTCAGTTGCCGTGCATGTCTTGTAAATGGCACATTCCATACCTTCCTGGTTGCGCGGATGGCTTGGTCCCTGGTACCTGTGCAGCCCTGTGGGGCTTTCTCCCATTTCCCGGTTTGCATGCCTATTTCCCACAAGCCATCAGTGAAGCATATAGAGTGGGGTTTCTTTCGTGATTATTTGATTGGGAAAGAAAGAAAACACCTGGGCATCAAACTGAACCTTCTCGGAGGAAAAAACATCCTGGTGTTAGACAGTTATCATTTGGGGACCATAGACCCAACCATTCTTGGTTCTGATGCCATCTAAATGGTACCATGTGTTGTAACAATGATGACAAAATGGCGGTTATTATTTAGATGCTATCCCGGTGGTTAAAAGAAAGGTTTGAGAGGGATGTAATTTGGACATGCAAGTCTGCGAATTATTTATCTGCACATGACAGTATGAGCTGTGCTACGCCCTGCTTCACCGCACGTTGGGGAGATTTGCGCCACATTCCTGAAAGAAACTTCCAGGACAAAGCTCCGCCCGGTCAGACCTTGGGCCTCTTTTGCTCAAGACCCCGGTTTTCTAATTCCTTGCAGATAAGTCAAACAGAGAACGTGCCCTGTGACAAGGACACATTACAGAGCTCTGGAGACATCGTGGTTTTCCATATGGTGCCCAATTCTCCCTCGCCCTCCCCCACCCCAAAGAAAGCATTCCCTTCTTCCCAGGACAAAGGGGAGGGGAAGATCGTTTTATGTAACACACTAGTTAGCTAGTTCTTGCACGTGGAGGGACATCCCCAAAACACAGAAAAACAGAGATGTTTCCTACCTTGAGGACCCCCTCAAGTAAAACATTCGGTTCTTCTAATTGGCTCCTGCCTTGAAAGTAAGAGAATGCTATGAGCAGTTAGGCCTAGGACAGAGTGACAGAGTTCAGAATTCATTGCCAGTTAAGGGATTCTTCTACGGGACAGAAAGAGCCTTCTCTTGAGCTCCAGGAGACAGCTGTCTAGGAGAGCGCAGATCCCTATCTGGGCAGACCCCTAGCTGGGGACATAAGGAAGTGTCAGCACCGGGGCATCATTGCTGGGTGATCCCACACGGATGATGGCTGTCCGAGTGTGAGGGCAAGAGTGCAATTTGAACAAGACCGAGTTGGAAACAGAGTGGAACTGACCTGGGTCCCTGAGGTCTCTCCTTTTCTAGGCTAACGTCATGTTTTAACCAAACCTTGCACGTTGAGCTTTCTTTCCTAATGCGCTGAGCTGCACGATGACTTCAGAATACTATGAAGCTTCCCCACGCCTCTCGTGTTTCGGCGGAGGGTGGGCTGGGTTGCCCACAGTGCAACCTGCGCGCTGCCTGAAGGCTAACTGCCTGGGAGCAGGCTGCTTCTCTGGGAGGTGAAAACAGACAGCCGACTGCTCTCCTTGAGGCTCACTTTTATTGTTATCATGAGCGTTACTGTTAGCATTTCGTATTTTGTGCATGCTTCAGAATCCCCAGCCCATTATTCTGTGTCATGTTCTTCCATAATAGTGGGTGGCCAGGGAAGCAGGTGACCATTCTCCCATCTTCTTGCAGTCCTTGACGCCCTCCGAGGCTGCTTGTCACCCAGTAGGGAGCTTGACCTTCCTTCTAGAAATCAGGAATGTCAATGGACTCACATCCCAGGGCCAGCCCTAATGTGTGGCACTGCCTTCATGCACACCACACTCCCGGGCTGCTTCCCACGTGAGCACAGATGGGTTGGCTACGGCCTGTTTGGGGGGCAGCTGAGTAATAACTCATGTTCTCCGTCATGGTGGCACTGGCCCATATCCTTCAACTTGTGGAGAACCCCTAGAGTTTAACTGGTGTGAAAGAGAGGACTTGGCTCTGGAGACCATCTCCAATTCACATAGACAAAGTTGAAAAGAACAAATGTTCCCTTTCTCAGCTTGAAGTTGTTAAGGGGATACAGGCCTGTTGGCGACTTGCAGTAAAAGGTGGCTTCACATAACACAGACGATACGCACTCTTTATCGCTTGCTCTGTTCTTCATGCTACTAACCGGATTCTGTTGATATTATTTTTATTTTAGTGGGGTTTTTTTGGGGGGGTGTCGCTTTGCATGTCGTTCTTCCTCTTGGCTGTTTAGTTGCAGGGGTTGTGACCCTTTTCCTTTCTGTGATTCAGGTGCCTCACTCTTTCCTTTCCAGGTTCTTCCAGTTCTTTTAACATGTCAAACTCTGGAGATTTGTTCATGGGCGTGCAGTCACTCAATGGGGACTCTTACCAAGGGGCCCAGGTTGGAGCCAACGTGCAGTCACAGGTAGGGACCCAGCCAATGTGCCACCAGGTGAATGCAGTGGAGTCCCAGAGCCCTCGGTCATATTGGCACTTGCCAGTTCTGTCCAGAGAGAGAGGGAGATGGTGAGAGAGGGAGAGATGGGCGGGGAGAGAGAGAGAAAGAGAGAGAGAGAGAGAGAGAGAGAGAGGGCAAGGCAGAAACAAAATCTTACCAACCAAACCAAACCAAAACCAAAGACAGCCATGGTCATGGGGAATCTCGTCCACACTTTGTGAATGCATTTGGCTCTGGCTTGTCAGCCACACTGGGAAAGCAAGAGAAGAGCAAGCACAGGGTGAGGTGACCAAGGCCTGCCGGGCATGTGGACCAGCAGTGTCTTCGTTCCTTATTGAAGGGAAGGGAGGAGGAGTTCAGTCCATTGTCTCACATCGCAGGCCTCCCTCTTGTTCATGGTTTCCCAGGCTCAATATTTGCCAGCTAAGGAAGTAATTGATGAGTAGGCAAATACCTTCATATCTCCTACTTTGTTTTGGGCTTTAAAAACAGCCAGCCAGGTTGACTAAACTCATCTTCTCGGGCATCTTTGAGGTCAAGGAACTTGGGTTTCTGGTCACTAGTCAGAGCCCGTGTTGGGAAGCAAAAATCAGGTCGTGTGGTGTAGACCCTTGGTACCCATTAGCAAGCAGCCCGCCCTCACTACACCTCAGGAAGCCACCCTCTGGTGTCAGCACAGAGCCTGCTGGGAGAGGGTAAAGTCAAATGATCTGGGTCAGGGTTGCTAGGGAAGTTGGGGGCCACCTTAGCCCACTCCCCAACCCTGCGTGTGGAACAGGAAACCCTAAGTGCCTGGAAGAGACCAACTGGCCAGTGATTCGGCCCCTCGCCCAGGAAATGCTGCCTGGGGACGAGTGTGAGGAGCCATGATCAGACTGGTCAAGCGAACGAGCAGCTGGCCGTCACCCGAGTCCTCGGAAAGATGGTGTTGGTCACAGACGGCTCTCTCTGTGAGGTGGCTGCCCGCGCCGCCTCCAGACAGAGCCTTGACTTGTGTAGGGAACCAGCAAAGGAGAAGCTCTGGTGGGTTATCTGTACGAAAGGAGGGGTGGCTCCTTCGCTCCGTCCTCTCCCCCTGCTTCTGTCCCCTGGTCCCTGCCGTCTCATGCAGCGCTGGGAGTCCGTTTCAGCGGCGGGAATCCCAGGTTTCTTTGACCCTTCTCCCGTCCTGCTAACTGAACTCAGAAAGCAAAACAGAGTCGGCAGATAGAGAGGCCGGCCTCCTGCTAGCGGGCCCCTCCCGGGGAGGATACCTCCACCATGATCGCAGTTAACGCGGTAGCCTGCGCGATGATTCTCTGCCTTCCTTTGCCTGCATCTCCCTGACTAATCTCCTCTCTGTTGTTGTTCATCTGTTTAGGTGGATACCCTTCGCCATGTTATCAGCCAGACAGGAGGATACAGTGACGGACTCGCAGCCAGTCAGATGTACAGTCCGCAGGGCATCAGTGTAAGAAAACAAGGCACCCCCGCCCTTTGTGTTTCTTCTATCATAACCAATTATTTCAAAGCCACGGGGCTCGGAATGCCACTTAGTAGGACTCATCTTAGCTCTACGGCCGCCTGGCTTCTTGTGTCTGTATCGGCCACGCCGGAGGCGGCCTTCCACCCACACAAAAAGTGGCGACTGGGCAGGCTTCACGCAGGCAGCTGGCGTCTAGGGCTGTCACACGCGATCAGCGTTCTCATGGCACCTGCGGCCACTCGCGTTCAGCCGAGAGGAGCCGCTAAACAGGTGACACCGAGCACAACAGTGGTAGGAAATGTCGCCGCGAGCTGGGGCCTGGGGACCTGGGCAGGAAAACCAGTGGCCAAAATCCATTGCATCCCGGTCTGTGGTCTAAAAAAAAAAACCAAGAGCCTATCTCCCTTCTAAGGACAAAAAGGAGAAAAGAAATTAACACAGAGGCTGGGTGTGTTGAAGGGCCAGGGAGGGTGTGGGCCATCTTGTTCTTGGGCGCGCTGGCGGCTCTGACTAGCATGAAAATTCATAGCGACAAGCTGTGTCGCACAGAGTGAAATCGATCAGACAGACACAAGGAGAACCGAATGTAGATTTGGGACAGCAATCCAACTTGATTTCTCAGATCAATCGTCTGCTATCTCAGCAGCGGTGACAGCAAGCTGGGACAAGAGGCAGCCTGGAAAAGGAGGCTGTTCTTTAGATCAGGGGGTCATTTCCTGGGCTTTTCGAGGTCGCAGGAAGCGCCATTAGAACTATTGGCTCAGAACAGTGGAAGAAAACTGTGGTTGATTGATGGTGACGATTTCCTGTTTGTTTCCATTGTTGTGATTCAACTGAATTGGGGATGAAATGAAGCAAAAGTAGGCGGGACATATTAATGTCATCCCAGTCTATACTCATTGAGGTATTGTGTCTGCAGTGAGGAAGGTGATGGCTCCTTCCACCTGCATGGCTCAAGTCAAATATGACTAAGCCCAGACTAGAAGGAATCAATGGAATACCAACTGGTTCATCACAAGGAATGGTTGAAAGAGTTAGGAATTCTTAGCCTGTAAAAGAGAAAATGTGGTAGGTATATAGTAATTTTAAACACATTGTTGGTGAGGAAGATTGGATTCATCATGAGTGATCGGAAGAGGGGAAGGATAGAAGCACAGAGCTGAAGATACAGAGAAATACATCTCACTTCACCATTTGATGGGCCTTTCTCATAGAGCTGTCCAGAGAAGGGATTGGCTTCCTGGGGAGGTTAAGATTTCCCCGTCATCAGAGCATTTGAACATGGTATAGCTAGCTCCTTAGGACGTCAGAGAAAGGAGTCAAGTTACCAATTTATAAGTGTCTTGGTGACTCTTAAGGCCCCTCCAGTTAGGACTCCTCTATTTTCTACCTTCTTTAGGCGGAATCTATGCCAAAGTTGTATGATATTTATCAAGTCGCTCTCTGGTGGGAGATGGAGGAGATCAAAGCTAACCCTATTGAACATACTCTGGGCAATCGTGGCAATTTTCCAGAAAGGATTTCCAGAACAGAGCCATGCTTCTCTTCTTATGCTTCTGCTAATTGTTATTACCATATTAATGGCTGACTTGCTGGAAACCTGCTTAGAAAAATACAGGACACTTGGTGGAAGGCTTATGTTCTCAAAGATGGGTTTCAGCTGAATGAAGTTGCCCTGTGCTGCTTGGTGTGGGGATTTCAAGCACATACGCATTTATGCATTTTCTGAAGATAGATTTTTTTGTGTGCAGAGAAAGCTTCCCTCTATATAGGTGGGAGACAGGAAGACGAGGAAAGTACCAGAGGGTGGGGGCGAATATGGCACATTCCAAAAAGGAACTGCAGAAAGTCTATGTGAGTGGGCAGGAAATGGGCTCACACTTCTGCTCTGTGGTATCTTTCTTCCTAACTGGGTAGTGCAGAAGGGGGTGCCACTCAGGTCTGGGGTGGGGGTGGGTGGGGTCAACCTTGACCCCTCTGATGTTATCTGGTGGGCTGGGAATCATTTCTGCAAGAGTGTAACCAAACATATGCAGACAATTATATCTGATTATATAAGCTTACCGCAGAAACTGAGCTTGAAAATGCCACACGGAGGAGTCTCTGGTTGTGCGTTAATTTGTTCCCTGGGAACCGTGTTTATTTTATTTCTGGGTCTTTAATATGCAGGGTAAATGATTCAAAGCCTGATCGTGGTAGGATACGTGCCTTTGGTATCCATTTTAAACTTTACCTTGTGCCACCTGCAGGAGACAAAGCCGGTTAGAGCGAGCTGTGTTTTTAGACCATGGTATTCGACCCAGACACGTGTGTACGTGCAGAGTGGGGCTCTGGCTGCCGGGAGAAGAAAGAGGGAAAGAGGGAGACAAGAAGAGATGAGGGCAGGAATGAGAGGTTTGAGCCAATAAGTAAAAATAAACAATTCCCAAACCCAAGGCAGCAATGGAATTCCCAGCTGGACTCTGGATTGTGTTTCATTTGGCGGAGGACATTTTCTGGGCAGCCTTTATCTGCTCCCCTGGCTGGGTTTGCATAGCGCTCGTATCTTATCCAACCAATGTCTATTTTAAATCCCATCAAGTTCAGACCACGTGTCTTTCAGTGAGCCCAGGTGGCAAAGGTATGGAAGGTTGGGAAAGAGCTGGGAGACCCTGGCCCTGGTCACTCTCTGGTGTCCATTGGGTAGGCATCGTACCTCTCTTCCAGAAAACGGGGCCAGTAATTCCCACCCTTTAATACCCCAAGGGCCGCTTTAGGGAAACTGAGAAAATACGGAGGAAAGGGCTTGGCAAAGCAGAAGTTGTTCACCTGAATGCAGTATGAAGTTCTAAGTGATAACTTTCTCATTTTACCTTGTTTTCTCCTTTTGTGGGAGCAGTTTTTTACAGTAGGTAGGTCCTAGTTAGGATTGGTTAGGACACTGTTGTCACATTTTTCGCTCCTGGTGTGAAGCGATGCTTTCTAAAAGGATGTAGAGTTCACAAGTTCTGTACACCCTCTTCCTTAGTGGTGGCGCACTCAGGTCCTTTGTGCTCTCAGATGACAATGGACGGCACTTAGCAGCTTAGAAGGGCCCTGAAGAATGGAGGGAGGTTATACTACTTCCGGTCAATCAGAGCCCCGTCCGTAGATCACTCAGCTATCACGTTGTTCTTCTCTTTCCTTTCTCACGGACATTGCCCTCGTTCTAAATTAGTTCATTGGCTTGGCCATTTCACGTAACCATTTTTCTAGTCACTGTTACTGCCTTCGGTATCTCTTCTCTCCAGCATACACCCTCTGAATTGTGCCATTCCTTGCCCGGAAATCACCAATGCCAGTCTTGCTGCCTACCTAAATAGGTTCAAACCCCAAGTCCAACATTCAGGGTCTCCCGCACTCTGGCCCCAACCTACCTGCCCTTCCGCCTCATCCTTCTGACATCCAGGTAGAATTTGGGTGCTAGGCAACGTGGTCAGTTCATTGTTACCTGGTTACTCACATCCCCCTGTGTTTGCTCATGGTTACCACCTACATAAATGCCCTTCATTCCTGTGCCACCTTCCCCATGCCTGCCTCCCCACCCTCAACCCTTCGCTTCCCCAGTCACAGCCATCTCCTCCTTGCTGCCTGTGTTTTCCTTCTTAGCCCTTCTCTCCTGCTTCTTTGTGCCCCATCACACATATACTTCCCTTGCATTATAGATATGTCAACAGACAGACTTGATTGGTCTTCGTGCCTTTCACTCCCGAATATTTCCTAAGTATTTCCTAAATGCCTGTATTAGTTGCTCAAAACATGTTTACTGATGAACGAATCAGGTAAGAGAAGACAAGTCGCCATTGGATTTAAAAAGTGCGTTCAGTGACCAATATCCACAGCAGTGAAGTATCTGGTGGTGGTTTTTATTTACTTTATTTACTTTGCTTTACTTTTTATTTATTTACTTTACTTACATGCTTTACTAACCCACAAATATCCCGTGTCTTTAGTTCCAAACTTTGTCCAGTCTTCCCTTTTATAAACAGTTTCTGAACCTTTTGGCCAGTGTGGATTCTCAGAGAATATGATTCGATTCAGCATTAAATCCATGAAGCTAGATAGTGATGATATTGTCAAGAAGATGATCCCTTTGAATTCTGCAGAATTTCTCCTGTCCTCAAAGAAAACCTGTGCCAAAACCTATTGGTGGGATACCACCATTGTAGCAATAGAACGTCGTTTCTGGTGGCCTTTTCTCTTTGACATCTCTACCAGATGGAGCGCTGAAACCTCCAGGGACAGACATGTAGGGGGTAGAAGCAACTTGAAATCGGGATCCTTCTGTGGCTTTGCTTTCGATAAGAGTCATCACCTCTGTATTTTTGCTTCATCTGTAAAATTTAACAGATAATAAGCCAGCTCCAAATTCCCCTTCAGCTCCATAGATCTAGAGTTTTTCCAGTATGTTCTTTGGTTCCTCTTGTCAGCTCCAGGGATGCCAGACTCCATTGTAGGCTGGTCTCCCCAGAGAACGCTTTGGGTAGACTTAGCCCCTGCCATTCCTTCTAGCCTCCCCCACTGCTCTCCCCTAAAATTGTATCTTGAGGTCCTAAATGGGGAGGAGAAAGAGCTTTCATTACATGAACCTTTCCCTGTGAATTCTCAGAGATCTGTGGAAGCAGAAAGCCTTATTCTTCCCGGGGCGGAACACTTTATTTTTAATTATTTTCAAATGTGAGTTAAGGGAGTGAGTTCACTCCAGCCAATTTTAAATGTACATAGAAACCCCTGGAAAGAGAAGGGAAAAAAAAGCAACCCTTGTAAGATGTTTCTTATTCAAGAGTTTTAGTGAAGATGGAAATAAAGTGTTAGCGTTCTCACTGTAAAGTCATAGTGCCACGAATGTCAGTTTATGACAGAAATATCTCGTGAGTTTTGCTTTGTGATAATTATAGGCATGGAAAATCAGAGATGAAATGTCTCTCTTTGTAAACCACAGCATACGTATTGTTGTTTTGGTTTGCTTTTCTCCCATGTTAGACAAAGGGAAAAAGGGACACTTATTGAGGAAATAAATAAAATATAAATCATGAGGATAAAAATAGCATCCTATTGAAGTGAACACATTGCAGGCGCTTCGATATCAGAAGGGTTACTTGGTAATACTTGGCCATGTGCCATCATTTTAATTTTTCCTTAACTACTTCTGAGAGACCTCCTTCCACTTAAAGTACATATTAATAAGATGTTGCCACGTGTGAAAGTGTAGGACTGGGAAGTTAGGGTGATAATTAAAATTCATATGCAAATCTTTAAAATCTCATTTTAATTATGTGAAGTTTTAATTCTTCTATTTTGCCAAGTGGAATTTGAAATGTGAAGGTATGAAAACATATCCAGATATGCTCCTTGGTTACCTGCCTTCGAGTACCTTCTGAGGCTTGCTACAAGAGGCCAGTGAACAGCCCCAGGCTAGAAGGATAAAAGGGGTGAGGAGAATTGACAGATCTGAACATGGTGAACCAAGCTCCAGAGGGTTTGAAGGCAGCAGGAATGGGGTAGATGGACCCCTGCCTTCCAGAAGCTTCCAGCCTGCCTTTCTTTTATGGTAGAGTGGAAAGGAAATGAGGAAGCCCCTTTAGTTTCTTATCTGATGAGGCCTTTAAACCTTAATACCATGTGAACTCAGCATTTGAGAAGGGAAAAGCATTTTACTTGAGCCCACAATTGTTGAAGAAGCAAAAAAAAAAAAAGTCTTAATATTTTAATTTTCTATGCATCCATTGTTTTTCCTCAGTGGCCAGGGGAAAGCCCGTAAAGGTACAGAAAATGAATGAGTCCAAATAGTCCTGTGGCATCTTTGTACACTGACACGCTCATATGTTCGTGTGTTCATCCATGCATCGTCCATCCATCCATTCAATAAGTGAGTCATCCGTAGTATTTTTGACCTTGGCGAATGAGACAACATCCTATTATATCCAGGTCAGGTTGGGGAAAGCCTGTACCTGAGATTATGTAAAATCCTGATGCCAGTCAGCACATGTTTCAGTTTTCAGTGTCGTTCATCACTTTGTGACCAGGTTTCCTGTTCTTAGAATACTCGAACAAGGGAGCCAGTCAATTCTCAAGTTTAGGAAAGAGAATCTGAAAGTGGGTTCTACAGCAGAAGAGAGGGACTCAAGACCAACCTGCAGTAATTTACAAAATGTACCCTCCTCCATACTGCGGGCTTATAATACGTATCCCGGTTGTAGAGACACCTCATCCCTCTGTAGAAGTCGTCACAGAGAATTCTGTTGATCTCAAACCTAGTTTTAAACAAGATCACATTCATAGGATGTGTGGTTGTGCATGTACGCATGTGTGCGTATTCTGTTTTCTGCCTGTGTGACCGTGGACAAATCACTTTCCCTCAGTACGACTTGGTTTCCTGGACTCTAAAAAAGACAACTGAGCTTAGATGTCTATGGCCTCTTCCAGTATCATATGCTACTTAGAAGACATGATGTTTTCCCGTTTCCAGGAAAATACAACAGGAAAGGAAATAGTTCCGAGCTACAAATGAAAGGGAAATTTGTCTTTTGGAAAAGAGTCGCATCTGTGAGATGACAGTGTACGCCATACTGTTTTCATTGGAAATTGGTATTTTACAGCTTCCTGTCCAGTTGGGCCCACATCTGGCCCTGTCACCATGCTATCCTTGGGCTAGGATCTGGTCAGTTTTTCCAGACTCAAGGCGGTCCCGCTGTCTGCTCTATAAAGAAAAAATTCACAACCTCAAAAGGGCAGTTTGTTTTTGTAGTTACTCCTGAAAGTGGCCGGGTTCATCTAGACCTCAGTAAAAATTACGCTAATGAATTGGCAGAATTTAATTGTGGGAAACATTGGCATTGGTATCTGCTGATGGCTTCCTTGCCTTGTGGGAAGGAGTTACATGTTCTTAGCTTGTTTTCAGGCAAAAATATGAGACCCGTGTCTTTGATAATCCAGTTGTTATTTTAAAATTTGGTACTTAAAAAAAATCTCTATTTGACTCTGAGTTTGGGGAAACTTTTTCCCATATCTCTAAATATTAAGTGTTTATATTCTCCGCTTAAAGAAATAAGGCAGAAGGTTTGAGTTTGAGTCTAGAACAACTCACCAGATAACTAAATAAATGAATAAATGCTTTATTAAACAAGTGTTTATTGAGAACCTTCTAATATCCACCGCCAGAAATACAAATATCCTAAGACATGGTTCTTGTGCTCTGTAAAGTCACAGAACCCTAGAAAGGCTCGGAGTTAATCTCATTCCAGCCCTGCTTCTATGAGAGGGAATGTCTCTACCTATACCCAATATAGTCACCATAATATTATTTTTAAAGAATTGGGGGAACGGGCCATTGTGAAAGGAATTTTCACATACAATCATACTCCTGCCAACTAAAAATCTGAGTAGCTTATAATCATGGATTGACATTTGCCATTCTTCTACAGATTTTACAAGGAACCGTGCCAAAAGCTATTCTTTCCTTTTAGACCCAGGCTATCCCCAAGTACTTTCTCACTGATGGCAATGTTCTATCTCAGTGCTGTCTAATAAGTTAACCATTAGCCACACATGGCTGTTGAGCACTTGAAATATGGCTAGTGTGACTGAAAAAACAAATTCTGAACTGTATCTAATTTGAGTTAATTGAAATTTAAATGGCCACATGTGGCTAGTGGCGGCCATATTGACACAGAACATTCTAGATGCCAGTCATGGAGTAGCCACCGAAGGTGGGATGATAATGTTGAAGCGGCAGCCGTGGTGAAAAACAGGAGACTTGCTAACACAGAGCACAGAAAAGCATGCTTTCTGCTTAAATAAGCCTTTCTTAATGTTAATAGCACTCTTCATTAAAAATTAACCGTGCACGGGAAGCAGGAAGTTAACTGTGATTAGCATCATATGCTTTAAACAATGAAATAATTGGAGGAAGGTGTAAAATATAAATACATAAATGCCACATTCATATGACTCTATTTGTAGCATTTTCAACTCTGACTGCCATTAATTCATCTAACCTGATAATTTTCAAGCCTAAGCAGGACATGTCTTTGAACTCCTCTTGAACCCTTTCTTTACCTCTAAAAACCCTTTGGGGCTTATAGGAGATCTCATCTGTTTCACCTTTCTGAGGTGCCCAGAGCCTTCTCTGGTGGCCACTGCTTAGTTGTTCCTTCCTCCCTGACCTGCTGGCCTTGTCAGAGCGTGGCCCGCAGATCAGCAACATTGGCATTGACTGGGAGCTTGTGAGCAGTGCAGACTCTCGGGCCCCACCAAGACTGTTAAGTCAGATTCTGTGCTTTAACCAGATGCCCCAGTGATTCCTAAGCACATTAAGTTTGAGAAGCTCTGCTCTAGCAAGAAGCACATTTAAATGCTGCTTAAGGGGGCGCCTGGGTGGCTTAGTCGGTTAAGCGTCCGACT